AGACACGCGCGTGTGCTGCGGGTCTGCCTACCCCACTCTTCTGCAGGCGGTTCCAGCCAATACGTAACAATTATCCTTTTCCTGCCAAGCAGTTCATCTACTTTACGGTCGAGCTGACTACGCTAATATAAATAATATACGGGCACACGGGGATTTGAATATTGCGTCCTGGCTGTCGTTTGGGACGTGGACGTTTGGGATCCGCGTCTAAGCCCCCTTTGCCGTGCTTGTGCGGGCGATTAGTGATTAAAGGGTTCTTGTTGCACTGCTGTATTTTTCGCAGTGCTTGCTTGCCTACGCGAGCCCCATAATCCTTTCTCTCACGGTCCGATTGCCGCTTCCTCTGTTGCAGACTCACGCGTCGCTGGATGCGGACAGTGGCGGCGCACCGCCTAGCACCAGAGCTCCGCGCAGGTGAGCATATCCACTATGTTCAGTCAATGTCAGGCTAGCTCGGTTTTTCATCATTGAATGAGGGAAACGTCGATCGTGAGCGTGTACTATTCTTGGTTATACTTTATCACATTTATTCGAGAGTTCGCTTTGATAATATTTCACAAAAACTGCCATAATCGTGGCGTCACACTACATATCGTTGGAATAAAAATTTCTAGTCCTTTGTTTGGAAATTTCCGAACAATTTGGAAAACAGTAAACTTACTATTTTACAAGGTGAAAAGACAATAAAAATGACACTGTCAATAAATAGAAATGTAAGTCGAAAGTTCATGGAAATTTCCCCAAAAGTTCGGAACTTTATAAACAGTTTGGAAAATGATGTTTATGAATTGTTTGGATTTTAAATTTTCCGAACTGTTTCAGATGCAAATTTTTCAGTTAATTGTTTGGAAATTTCGAACAAAACTTTTTACAGTGCATTATCTATAGATCTTACATGGAATTAATCTGCTCAAATTTGTATTGCTCATATCAACCGAATTAAGCACAAGGATATTCTGATTGGTAAGATGTGGTCTAATGCTTTGCTCGGGAGCCAGTCAAGTGTTTTCCTCGTGGGCGTGCACTCGTTGCTCTTCAGGCGATAAATTCCGTATTTTTTATCTGCGGGACTGCACTTTGTGGGGAAGTTATGTCCGAGGTTATGTCAATTCCCAGAATTTTACAGCATATTTCACCCTACGATTCTGAATTTTTCGGTTCTCCTAATTTCCCCACAACACGCTGTCAACTCAGATTGAAGTTGTACAGTTTTGGCATCTATGCGCCGGCTTGTTAATTATGACTCCTTGAATTTTTATGCGTGCACTTTCTGCAGAGTGAGAGTGAGAAATATGCGCTGCCGCCGCTGACCTCGTTGTGTGGCTCTCGGCCCATGCCTCGGCTTGCCGTGCGCTGCATTGTTAATTACCTCCACAGACGGCGCGTGTGTATCGACGACCTGGGCTGCCCCCCCCC